ACATACGTTCATGATTCAAGAACCCTATTTCAACTTCCAATTGTGTGTGTGAGTATGACCGTTTTTTTTTTTTTTTGGTTGGACAAAGTGAGCATCAGTGTTTGATATTATTTTAATAAAAAGTATTCCTCCGTTGTTTATTATAAAATACTTTTTTTAAAAAAATGAATAATTTATTATAAATCACTTGATATCGTGTTAATTCCCATAGCCCCTTGGCTTAAAAGCATCCATACCCTCTTGGGAAAAAAAAAAGTTATGGGTTTTATACTCCATGTGATAAAGGGTCAAGTGCATGTGAGAATGGTGAGTGTTTGTGTTCTTTTCTTTGGAAGAAACGGTCATCCTTCTTATGGGAAAATGGTTGATATGTAGGCGTGTATGAGGATGTTAGCATTTGTTTCATTAAAAAAAATATAATATTAATTTTAAATTTTTAATATTACTCCTATTTAAAATTATTAATTATGAAAAAAATATAATACAAATTTAAAATTATCTATTTAAATTCGGGTAAAAATAGAAGTTTATTTTACTTTCAATCAAAATTAATGATTTAACTATTTTTTTTAAAATTCGATAAAAATCATTAAAAATGTCTTATAATATAAAGTAATCAAGAGACAAAACATATAGGGCATTTGGTCAGACTAAACAGGAGCAATATCACTTTTTAATAAAAATAAAAATTAAATTGATTTAAAATAATCTATCAATCAAAATCAGACAATAGTCCTTATTTCTATTTGCATTTTTTTACACAAGTCCTTGCAATTAACGAAACATGCCCTTTGGTTAACATAATCTTCTGAGACGAAGTTACTTTTTAAGAGACAATACATGTTAAATTCCAGCAAGCAATAAGTTTATTAATTTCAAACTGAAACTAAATGAGCCTTCCATTTAAGAATCAAATCGTTAATTTGCCTGAATAGTATTTACTCGATTAAGAAATTAATGCGAAGACTGGAAGGAATTGATGTGGCACGCACAAGTAATGACAACAAGGGCTTTGTTTAAACTTGAGAAGCGCCTATGGCAGGTTTCTGTTAAGGTAAGCACTCAAGAGGAACTCATTTGGTTCCAGAAAGCAAGAAGCAAATTAATGGCTTCAATGGGGTGACAAGAATTCAAGCTTTTTCCATGCCTCCGCTGTGCTTAAAGGGAAGAAGAAAAAAGTGCCAGCCCTTCAAAATGATTCAGGGAGCAGGTTTATGGATAAGGAAGAACGAAAAGAGTGTGGCTAGGCAAATTTTCAAAGACCTGTATATTAGGGACGCGAAGATTGACACCCTTAATTTTTCATTTCCCCCTGTTAGCTCTGCTGATTTAGAGATGGTGCATGGACTTGTTGATGATATTGAGATAAAAAATGTGGCTTTTTCCAAAATCATTGGGACTCGGTAGTCAAATATGTGAATTGGTTAAAGAGGTGTTTGGCGACCCGCATAGAGTGAGAGATATGAATTAGATGCACCTAATTCTCATCCCTAAGATTGATCACCCTTCCTTTACCAAGGAGTTTAGGCTGATATCTTTGTGTAATATTAGCTTCAAAATCATTAGCAAGATTTTAGCCAATAGACTTAAAACCTATTCTAGGGAAGATTACTCAAAATGAACAATTTAACTTTTTGGAAGGTCACCGAGGAAGGGACAATGTGATAACTACTTAGGGAGCCATACATAGCATGTGCGACAAGAGAAGTAAGAAGTCCTATATGGCTATCACAATTGACGTGGAAAAAGCATGTGATCGGCTTGATTGGCAATTTATGGAGAGTACCTTAAACAATATGGGTCTCCAATATGAATTTATCAAATATTGCTATGGCTTGTTTGTCATCAACCGTTATGAAAGTCATCTAGAATGGTGAAGACTCACAGCACTCTCCTCATCAAGAGGAGTTAGAGAAGAGGACCCTCTCAGCCCTTATATCTTTTTGCTGTGCATAGAACACCTTGGCCATCTCATAAGGGCTCAGTGTGAAGAGCCAAAATGGAAGCCATTGAGATTCTCCAACTCAGGCCCGACCATATCTTTTTTTTTTTTTTTTTTGCAGATAATCTCTTTTTTTGTTGAGGCTATTATGGAACAGATGGAAGTAATCAAACAAGTTATGGCTACCTTCTATAATATTTCTAGGCATAAGATTAATTTGAGTATGGTCTAAAATGTTCTACTCTACGAATGTTCATCTTAATAGGGAATTGAAACTTAGCCAGGCTTTAGGAATTTGACTCACTTCAGATCTGGGCAAATCCTTAGAAGTGCCTCTCCTTCATTCTAAAGCCATAAAGAGGACTTATGACCATATTGTTCTTGAATGCAACTATCTTAATTTGGCTGGAAGAATAATTCTAATTAAAGTGGTGCTCTCTGCTTTGGCATCTTATCTTATGCAAACTACTCTTCTTCTTAAAGGGTTGCTTCATGATATTGAGAAGATTACCCAATGCTTCCTTTGGAGTCAGGAAATTGATAGAAGCAAGTGCATCTTATTGCATGGGATGCTGTCAAAGAAGACATAGTGAATGATGGTTTGGGAATCAAGGATCTATATAGACAAAATAGGGCTTTCGAAATGAAGCTATGCTAGGGCTTAATCACGAAACCCAATACTTTTTGGGTGAAGTTTTTAGGGCCAAATATCGATACAGAAAATACAGAATGCCTAAAGTCAACAAGAGAACTAGCCCTTCTTACATTTGGAAAGCCATGAACACAGTGTGGGAGTATTTCAACAAGGGTACAGGGAAGGAGATTAAGAATGGCTTTCATACTCAATTTTGGTGGGATCTTTGGATTCAACTTGACTAGCCTCTAATAGCCTATACTGATAAGAATGTTTATGATATTAACCATAAAGTTTAGTGAGGGATTTTGTTCTTCCTAGTAGTTAATGGAATCATGATTTCTTTCCTAGGTGGGTGGTTAGAAAAGTGCGCTCTTAATGCCCCTTATGCTAATGAAGATGATGTGTTTTGTTGGAGATATGCCAATGATGGTAGCTTTAGTATTGAATTGGCATATAGTTCACTTAACGTCCTTAGCTGATAGTCTAATGGCTTCTTGTAGAAACAACTTTGGCATTAGCCCATCCAAGAAAAAGTGAAATTCTTCTTGCAAGTAATTTATGAGAGACTTCTCGCTAACTCCTTAATAGCCTGGAGAGGTTTTACACATAGTGCGAAGTATTCTTTTGAGTGTAATAGTAAGGAAAATATTCTCCATATTTTGAGACTGTTGTGTGGCAAAAGTAAGTGTGGAAACTTGTTATTTCTTCTAACCAGTATACCTCTTTCTTTGCTTTTAACAACTTGTAGGTTTGGATTTGGGAAGGCATAGGGAGACATTGAGGGAAACATCCTTTAATCGCAGGCCATGGATCAAAACTTTCTACATTATATGCTAGATTCTTTGGAAAAGCAGATGCAGTAGAATCTTTGAAGGCCATGTCAATATAGCAAACCAAATTCTCCATTCAACCCCCTTCAGCTTGACTGAGGACACGAGCAATAGACATTATAAGCATTATGTGCTTAAGGAAACCCAAGACAATAACCATTTTTGGACCAAGCCTAGGCACTAGTTTGTTTATGTTGATGTCAATACCTTAGTCAAATATCCTAAGCAAATAGCTTGTGGCGGAGTGATTCATGATCATGGAAGTCATTGGATTTTGAGTTTTAACTGTAAGTTGAATCCTACTACTATCTCAACGATGAAAATCATTAGAGTTGATAATTCGAGCAGGCTGAACTTATTTTAATTCAAGTCGAATTTATTTGAATCGAGTTTAAAGTATCTTACGTTTTTTAAAAAACTCATATAGTTAAACCCGACCCTAACACCTTCAAGCTTCGGGCTTATTTAGGTCGACCTGAATATTCAAAACTTTTTAAAAATATTTTTTCTTTATTTTTGAACCAATTTTAATTTTTAAATAATTTTGTTAAGAATAAAATATTATTTTAACTTTAAAAAAATAAAATAAAAAATAATAACTTGTCAACTTTGTACTTAAATAACTCTATTACTACATTGTTATATTATATGTAATTTATTTATGAATGTTTCCTTTACTTGTAAATTAATATCTTAGTTATTTAAATATTGCTTTTATCATGATCATATATAAATATTTTATATATTTTAATTACTATCAAGTTGATCTCAATTTAATCATAGTTAGAACATTAACTTAAAATCATTACCCCAATTATTTTCAAATTTGTTAATAACTTTTGGATAAATTGTACTTTTTCATTTTTAAGAATATGAGAAAAATAGCCATTATTATATTATATAAAAATTATTTAATTATGAGTAAAATACTATTTTTTAAAATTATTTTTTATTTAACTTTTTATATTATTTAACCCCTACATAGTAAGGGTATTTATTCTTAATTTTTAACCAAGTTTGATGTGGACAATAACCCAATAATTATTCAAAAATATTTTTATATTTATTATGTTTATCTAGTAGTAGAGTTGAGAATTTGTACATGCCCGAATCTTATTTTTAATTTTATTTTTACTTTCAAATTAATTATATTATTTTATAAAAAATAAAATATATTTTTTTTCAATATACAAATTATGTATATATTAATTTTAAATACAAAAATTAATATTTAAATATATTTTAAACATTATTTTGAGATACTTTATTAAATAAAAATGATGAAAATATAAAGATTTTTATTTTTTTTTAAAAAAATAACTATAGTAACATTTAAATATATGGTTTTTAAATAAAAAATAACCTAAAACTTAAAGAATTAATTAATATTTATTATATTATATATATATTTTTAAAAAATATTTTTTATTTAGGTATTTAAGTAAGTCGGACCCTATCAAGCTTGGCCCGAATTTTTTCTAACCTATTCAGGATGGCATGAATGGGCCCGAACATTACCCATTTGATTTGACCTAAATTACTGCCTTTAGAAATCATGTTAACACGAGATTAAGGATTTGTAAGCAATGTGAATTCAACAAAATTAAGCTTTCCATTGATTCCCTTGCGGCCATTAACATCGTGTTTCCAGATAGCAGGAGGAATCACCCTTATGGTAATATTATTAATTTAACTAGAGATCTCATATATCAAGATTGAGAGTTATAAGTCAACTACAACTGTAGAGAAAGCCTGGAATGACTGAATGTACATATCAATTGGCAAAACTTGGTCGTTCTTCCAGGTATGACGCCGAAACATACTTGGTCGTCCCACCTGAGTGCAGTCAGAAATTAGCACATGATTTTGCTAATACTGCTTGACTTTTTTAGTTTTTATTTTGTTTCAAGCTTAGCTTCTCCTCTTATTCAAACAAAAAAGGGAAATAATTTTGGGGTGAATGGACAGGATCATCCAATGAAATCATATTACAGAATGTGATTCTACCTAAGCTAGTTATGTCAGCGAAGCATTCATAGATGATGTGGAGTAAACAGTAGTAAACTAGCATAATATTACAAAAAGCGTAATATATTTGCTTGCAAATAAGAAAGCAAGTGCTAATAAGACGGTAGTAACAAAATTTAAAAAAAAAAAAAAAGCAAGTTCATTATTTTTGTGAGATGCACTTGACCTTCTGTTAACAAAAGTGGTAATAAGAAAGAGGGTCTAACTTCTACAGCTTTGCAAGTAATTAACAGCGCAAACTACTTACACCAAGGCTTCCTGTACATAATGTACAAATAACTCCGACCAAACAAGTTGAGATACATCAAGTACAGCTACCTAATCCGGATGAAGAGTGATTAATATCAACCTGATATGCAAGTGAAAAGGTGAAAATCAATCAGTTATGTGAACTTTACAGGTAGGCTTATGGGTCCAGACCTTCAAGAAGAAAAGCCAGCTTCCATTGCCCGCAAGATTGGACCAGTATCAAATCTGAAGTTCCTAAAGCTCTTGCCAGGCCCCGTGTCAAGAGTGTGAGAATCAGGCTCAGGTATTACTGGTTGGCTGTCCATTGTCATTGAGCTACTTCCATTGGAACTGTTCTTCGCTTTCCAGATGCAAATTCCTTTGACAAAAAGCAGCAGCTTTTAGTAATCACCCACTGGTAAGTACTGGACATAAAGATCAGGGAACAATCTACTATGATATCTAGAGCAAGAATCTCACTCTAATAAAATCTTAATAGCCAAAGGTGGGAGAATCCCTAGCATGAAGAAAGAATTATTTATTTCTCATTGTGACTAAACTTTGTGTCTGCTAGTCCATTTATAATGCTGAACATCACTTAAAAATAATTATTAAACATCAGCAAAATCTCCAAATATCTCTTAACTAACACAAACAGATTTGAACGTTGGTGAACCCCTCCAACGGTCATAAAGGTCCATTTATTTAGCTAACAGACTCATAGAATGAACATAAACAATTCAGCAACAAACAATCAGCAAATAAAAGAAAATATGATTAAATAAGACTAATTCAAATGTTCAGTCCTCTGAAAATGCTACATAACAGGAATCAACCTCAGCTACTTTCCTCTTTTTCGTCTCTGTATGTTATTAGTAGGGCACTATGCTGAGTTGGTCTCTTATTACGACTACTATGAAGACTAGCCATTGAAAATTATCCAAACAGGAAATTATTACAATACTAAATATAAACAGGTAACATCACGTCATCACCGGAGGTTTTCCTTTCATTGTAACAGGTAAATTTGAGCAGCAATCTAGCCAAGTGAAGCTCATGATTGGATATCACACTGCCAATCTCATATCTATATCTAAAGATAGATGCGCAAAACTTTGGTGCACGAAAATTTTCATGGCACATCATTTGATGTGTAACTCATAAAAGAAATATTAAAGATGAGTTAGTTAGTAGTTAGATAGTTGGGTGGTTAGGTTTTGTTAGAATGAGAGCGTAAGGGAGGCCCTATATAAAGGGTCCTATATGACTCAATTTATGCTTAATGTGAAAAACCCAAAAACATATTCAGTTCTCTATCTACCTCCATTTCCTTTTTCTCTCTCCTCTCTCATCACTCATCTTTCTTTCCTATTTCTCCTCTGTTTTATTATGTTTCTCTCTTCTCTCTTCATCTCCTTCTATCATATTAGTAGTATCCAGAGCCTATCTTTCCTACCTTATATGCCCATAATCCGCTCCCCGACAGCATTAAAGATGGCAGATCAAACCGACGAACATTTACGTACCATTGAAACTCAGATAGAGGCATTCATGGCTCAAATAGTTCAACTTGTGCATACAGTGGATAAGACATGCACCACTCAAGGCTCCAACAACAATAGAGGAGTTGGCCAACATAGGCAAAGACAAGACCAGCAAGAATACCAACCTCAAACAAGATTCACCAAGATGGAATTTCCAAAATTTCAGAGAGGGGATATTCTTGGGTGGCTTATTAAGTGTGAACAATATTTTCAGGTTGTTGACACCCCCGAAGCATGGAAGGTCATGAAGGCCAGTATTCACTTAGATGAGAAAACCTTCTAATGGCACCAAGCACTTATGCTGCAAGCTTGACCTAACAGAAGACTATTTAGAGCAAAGTTATCTTCAGGGCTTACAAGAAATGCTTGCTGGGGCTGTTAGGTTATTAAAGCCCACTACACTACAAAATGCCATAAGCTTGGCTCATTTACAGGAAATTCACGTTCAGGAGTCAGGCAAAGAATTTAATGTGGTCGACAAGAGTAAAGGGGACAGATCACACTAGTATGGTCTTCTCAACCCTTCGACAAACATATCACACGGATTGAGTAAATGGAGAGATGCGAAAACAGTAGCTGTTAATGGGTTTCATTTTTTAAGGGTAAGGCTAATCTTTCACCTGAATACCATTCTTTTTCATCAGCAAACGGATCTGCTTCCTCTGTTGTGTCACGGCAAGTTATTTTTCAAACCCTAATTCAAAAATCTTAAAGAAATTAAACCAAGAGGAGGGTGACATATTTGGTCAAAGAATCTTTGTTTCTACTGTCACAAACCTAAGGGTCATAGATGTTCACCAACTCAGAAAGTCCAGATACAACTCATTGAGCTAGAGCCTGAATCTGAAGAAGCTACTGGGCAGGTGGTACACTTTCAAAGAAGTCATAGTGATGGCAAAGGGGCTTCTGGATAAAGGACAGCTGGATTCTGTTTTTTCTGTGTCAACCCTTGAGGTCAAGGTTCTCCCCCCCCCCCAAAAAAAAAAAGGGGGGGAAACCTTTTTACCAGCGTAAAAGATTAGTTAGATAGTTGAGTGGTTAGGTTTTGTTAGAATGAGAGCGTAAGGGAGGGCCTATATAAAAGGTCCTATATGACTCAGGTTATGCTTAATGTGAAAAACCCAAAAAATATGTTCAGTTCTCTTCCTACCTCTGCTTCCTTTTTCTCTTTTCTCTCTCATGACTCATCTTTCTTTCCTATTTCTCCTCTGTTTTATTGTGTTTCTCCTTCTCTCTTCATGTCCTTCTACCATATCATCATTGATCCAGTTAAAGGAAAAACGTAGTCCAGTCCAGTGATATCAAGGAGTTCCAATAAGAACTTTCATTCTAACTAGAAGTATGCTGTCACCAAGATACCTGGTACAACCTACCAAACATTTCCGAGAAAATAGACTCACCTTTAAGAGGCAAATCAGGCCTTGGTGGTATTGGAGGTGGATGCTCTGAAATCCAAGTGTTCAATGATCTGCACATTTAGGAACGGAATCTTTTCACTCTAACAAGAGAAAGGGTGATCACCAAAAATAATCAAAACTATATTTAGTTGCACTCACCCAAGGAAAGGGGCTACCATGTAAAGCTTGAGGCCAGTGATCCCACGAGAAATCACTTCATCACTTGCTGGCTGAACTTCATCAAGCCGATGCCATGCAATTTCCTGCATATAGATAACAAATAATACTCTCAGCATTTGATCACCTACCGATTTTAAATCCCTTTCAGGGTAAATCACATTCCCATGAGGATAAATTCATGACTCTAGACCTAAGAACTGAGAAAAGCAATCATGTAATAACCTTTTTGAAACATGGGACATATCCAATGAAAAAGAAGGGCAAGAATCAAATAATGCTGGTAAAAACTAAATACAGATTTAAGCATTAAAATTTAAAAGTTAACAGACAGTGCCCGTTTACTGATTTTACTTAGCAAAAATTGAAATGCTATGGTCTCATTCACAAATAGTTGCAATAATTATCATACAATATGCAGTCAATAAAATTAATAATTACAAAATCAAATGCAACATAAGTGTCTTTATTTGGGTTACATCGAAGTAAACTGTAAACAGAGCCAACATTACTTATTTATTTTTTACCTTTCTTAACACAAATATTTTGAGGCTTAAAACAAATCTCCCAACCAGCCTTCAAGGTAGAACTTGGGGCATTAGGAAAAAAGGGGGGGGGGGGGGGAGGGGGACCCCCTCATAAATCAAGAATTTAACTTCACAAAAATTTACATGGAAATATATACATATGCTCCCAATTTAAGAAGTATGTTAATCAAATTAAATCGGGCCATATTCCAATAAATATAAACAATATATACGAGAGTTGTAGAAAATATAAATTTGGAACTCCTGTGTTATAAATTAATAATAGTTCAATGTAAATCAACATGGAAACTTCTAAAATAAATCCATTTACGAAAAGAATCACATACACTGATCTCTTTTTTTGTAAGTGGAGCAAAAGGTGTATCATCCTTCACACCAGCAATGATGTAAAGCCGCACTCTTTGTTGTCCAAAAATAACTTCAATGTATTCCTCTTTTTTAAGAAGTTTTGAAACATCAAAACCAGTTTCTTCCATGACCTGCATTCACCACAAACAAGTATTGCAGAGCTAAAGCAAGACTCCAGGTCGAGCAGAGTAGCCAGTTCATACAGCTTGTAGTTTTCCCTCAATAATACTAGGAGTTATTTTAAGATCTTGACCTTATCATCCCACATATCATAGTATCTTGGATACCAGATTTGGATAAGTATTTTATATGCTTTTATGAGATAATATGGTGGCATATGAGATAAAACCTCCTAAATGTGTTATAAAGGGTTAATAACTTGATATTATTCCTATGCCCAAAGAAACAGTCGGTGATCCAATCCATTGAGCAAATAGAAAGAGGGAAACACAGACAGACAGACAGACAGACAGACAAACAGAGAGCTCCACAGAAGCTTACTTCTCTAATGGCACATGCATGGTCTTCTTCATCTTTGCTCTTTTTGCCACGAGGAAAACTCCAGCTTGAACCTTTCCATCCTTTCACTAGCAGGCACTGCGGATAGCAGACATGTAAGAAATATGACCCAACCAGCCAATAAATGAATGTGACAAAAATATTACCAGTTCCTCTAAGTCCACACAAAAAGGAACTTGAAACAAGAGCAAGTGAAAAATTGTAATACACTGAAGCTTAGGCTTCTCCAATGTGTCTTTTCAGAAATAAGGTTGCATCATGATCAAACAGTTAAAATTCCAAAGGGAACATTTAGTGAATGTGCCTTCAGAGAGCAAAACAAATGAAGGAATTTCAAAATGTAATTGGAACACTGTACTTCCATCTAAATAACAACCTAGTTTTGCTGACTATTAAAAAAATTTGTCTGACAAATAACAATTTTATAATTTTTATTCAGCATTTTCACCAAGATTCAAAATTCTCAGTCCGATAAAATGATCTAAAGGATTTGTCCCATGATGAATACCTCAAAATGAAAAAAAGTCATTTGGTGCTGCCAGTGTAAGCTATGGGAAAACTACTGAACCAGTCATCATCTATTATTATTTCCAAATGACCTAGAAGTTATGGGAATCAGTTCTTTTATCCTCTACATTGTTGTCAATAGACATCAAGCCAGCTACTGTTCTTGCTCTCTGTTAGAAACAGACCTTCAGATTTACGTACTCCGATAATGAATTGAAATAATTATTGATAACCAGTTATCATTCCCACCATAACCTTTAACCATTTGTGGCAGACACCTGTGCTAGCTACATGTGTAGTATAGCAATTTACTCAAATATATTTTCAAACATTGTGACTGTGGGCATGAAATCTTAATGTTTAGGAAACAAAAGCATAGCATGCTGTTTCTTTCAAAAAAAAGGTACAAGTGAAGAATTGAATTAATACTCAACGGACATAATGAAAAAGCATAACAGACAAGTGAAGAATCGAATCAATACTTGATGGACTAAAGAAAGGAGGAAAAGAGAATTCATCTTCCCTGTGAAGGATTGCCCCAAATCACTTTGACACACTGTAATTTCAGAAAGACTAATCGTTTTTCTCATTCTTTATAATTGACTATAGACTATAGACGATAGCAATGGGAAACTATGCTAGTTAAGTCTAATAATTTTGAAATAGCCATAATTGCATATTACTGGTTGGATCATCCTAATTGGTAACAGTGATATGAAAAAAAGTTATTTGGAACTCTTAAACGCAAAACTCTGAACACAAAAACCATAGTTACCAATTAGGAATACCAGAAAAGGTACAAGAACCAAGTAGCACAATTTTGTTGCAAGGTGGCAAAATACCATAATAAAGGTAAGTGGGGGGGCTTGAAAATAAACTTATCTTACAAAAGAAAAACATATAACCAGTATCACTGCCAGCATGAATTCCTAAACCAGCTTACCCTTTCATATGTTTCATCTAGAATTATTGCACCCGTAACTGGGACTCGAACCTTGTAAGAAGTAAAGTCCTTGAATATATCATCTATATGAGCTACATAAGGCTTCAAAACATCACAACTATTAAACACTACTATCTGTTAAGGAAAACAGGATAGAATCATTAAATGCTTGAATACTATGCTTTAGTATTAGTATCAAATTCTCAGACAACTATGCTTTAGTATCTTCCCAATACAACAAATATTATACAGAAAATTTTCTTTCTGTCTCCAGCAATTTTGTGTGTCCACAGGCAAGCAGTAGGTAAGGCAGAACATAAGCTCAATCCTCAACATTAGAAAAACCAACATGTTCATTACATTCTTATGAAAAAATTGCAAATGTATCATTGCAAACCAATCTGGTTCAACAATGACCCATTGCATATGTATCATTGTGGTCTTAAATTTTGGGCTTTTGGCAATTAATCCACTTGAACTTTGTAACGCATGAAACACCTCTTCCAACTAAAATCACAAAATTCCATAGAATTAACAAAAATGGCAATAGCATAAATCATTTTTTTTTCCTTTTGGGAGGAGAAAAAAGATTACTCAAAAACATAGTTGTTAGATTAAAAAATTTGGGAAAGGATCTAAAGAAAACATTCTCTAAACATCCAATGTTTTGAATCTCTGCTTATATTCTTCCATCTTCCAGCAATGACTAGACTAAAGAAAATAGTATACATAATTCTTTCCACATACTAACTTAGAAAAGGAAAATAAAACATAGCACGAAAGAGAAGTTTATAAATTTGATGTACAGTTACCAAATATAAATAGGTGTGACAGAGAGGACCAAAAACCAAAAGAAAAATATTACAGGATACATAAAGAAGTAAACTCCTTCAGGTTGAATGACTTCAGAGATGGATTATTTTCTACAGAGTTATCTTCATAAAACCAATGCGCATACTCCACAAGAAACAAGATCCTTTCAAATGATTGGAGGTCTTCCTTTGGCACATTTAACACAAATCGACTGCAACAAATAAAGCATATAAGAGACACTTAAAAAATAGTTAAAAAATGACTGATATAGAAGGAAAAAATTCACCCATAAAACAGGGTAAGGAAAATAATGCAACTGAATACAAATGATGCAGAATTATAACTGCTACACACATAATGAATGTTCCACGGCAAGCATTGAGAAAATTGACAAACAAAGGGCCAATCTTAACTTTACAAATTCGACTTGCATCGTCAGTATTTATCACACAAGGCTATCAATCAAGGGCATACGCGACGATCAATCAGATGGGATCAAACAGTAGAATGAGAATAAAATTGACGTCAAGAAAAAAAAATTGGACAAACCCCAAGAAGAGCTTCCAATGTTCAATAACCTTTTGCCCTCATCTTCCACAAAAGGAAAAGGAGTTATAAAAAAATATAGAAAGAAGGAAAGAAAGAAACTACAATGACAGACCTGCAGAGATCATCGAGAAGTTCCTGAGGTGGAAGACCGTTCTTGGATGGAGCACTCGAGGTGCGGGAAAGATTTGACATGACTTCCGATTGTAGAATTCGAACCCTAAAACACAGATTTCAAGGGGCAAGAAAAGAACGCCAAAAGGGTAAGCTTACTTTCTTTCTATCTCTTTCGTTCTTCTGCTAAGCGAAAAACGGAGCCTAACCTATAAGCAGAGCAGCAAAAATGGCATGCTCGAGGAATGAAATCACTGACTAGCTTCTCAGCGTCTTCAATATTAAGCCGGGAATGTTCGAAAAGTATCGTTTTTGATTCCGTTATCATGTCAGTCGGTCGCATCGCTTGAATGCGAAAGCACAGAATTTTATCAAAAAAAGAAATGCACAGAATTAAAAATTCGAAAAAAAAAACTACTACACGAATTTTACAAAGAACTAAGAATTAGACACTAACGAATCTGTATCACTTAAGTTAATCAGTTAGAAAATAAAATTTTTATTAAATTAAAAATAAATACACATAAAATAAAGTAAGGCCAAAGAATATATTCAAAGTATGATTAGTAATTTAAGAGCACTCTTTTATTATTTTGCAATTCAATTTCTCTTAATTATTGAGTTTAATTTAACTTTAGAATTAATACTCTAATTTATATTTATATATTCATCAATTACAAAAACTCATGATTTAATTATATTATGATGTCTTATGTAAATATTTCATTAATTATATACAAACCTTAAAAGATTATTTAGGATTTTTGAATATATGACTATTTCAAACGTAAATTTAAGTCTAAACTTAGGTTGTTTAACAAACAATCTAATTGCTTATTAAAATTTTTTTAAAAAAATATCCTCTTATAATTTTTTATTTAACTTTATATTTTATAATACAATTTACTATTTTATACCTATACAAAATACAAGCAAAAAACAAAATGTTGTATAAAATACTTAATATTCAAAATATTTTTTTATCATTCTTACTATTCATTAAATTGCAGATGGGCGGTAGCAATTTAAGAGATAAAAATATTTCAAAGATAAAAATAAAAAATAATTTATTTTTGTACACTCAAAATAATATATTTTGTTAATTTACACAAATTAAAATTTAAATAATAATTTATGTTATAGGAAAAATTGTCTTGACCGTACATATTAAAGTTTTGACCATAGATGTTCATTGTGATGTTATTAGAAGTTGAAAAATTATTGTGATATTATCTTGTACATATAAAAAATTCAATCAACTCATGATAAATATTTTGCCTATCATTTTTACTACAAGCCACACATAATCTTTCAACGTGCAATTTGTTTAAAAAATAAGCCAATATGTAACCCATATAAATTTATTTTATTTTATAATTTATTATCTTGTATATTTTAATAATAAAATTAAAAATTATTTTATACAAAATTTGTTATTTCATGTGAATTAAGATTTGAAATAATTAAAATTATCCATCAAATTATACACATATTTTTTTATAATTTATATAAATTAAGTTTGTAATTTCATTACAATAAAACATTCTATTTTATGATTTACTATTTAAATTTATATTTTATAACATAATTAATTATCTTTAACAAATGCAAAATACGAGCAACAAATAATAAATAACCCTTGCCAAAAATAGTAGGTCTTATATTATTATTTTTTTATGAATCTTACATTCACAAATATTTTTTATTATAGATCCCACACCTACTTTTGATGGGTCCAAGTGAGATTTTAGTTTACAAGATTTTTTTAAAATATATCAGTACTGTTCATTCAAGTGTAGATGAACAGTAACCGTATATATTTTACATTGATATATTGATTTAAATAATAATAGGTAAAATGGGAAAAATGTGATGAAAGTAAGCAAGTCCTTTTTCATTTGTTCGAAGCTGCTTTATCTTTAACATGGACTCCTTTATTGGTCTTTTATTAGGTGCCTTCTCAGTTGTCATAATTTGTATAAATCACCATTTTTTTTTTAGTGGATATAAATCACCACTTTTCACCAATCCAATTGCCCCCCATTAAAAAGCTGCGTCCATTTTAGCGACAATGTACCCACAAAGACAATACCTCTCATTCTCAAACCTAGTTAACATTAAAAAGCAAACATCTATGGAGCCACGCTCACAGGTGCTATGCTATGTCAGAATCCAAAAGAGTTCCCACACGTAGAGTTTTCAAGTTCACATGTATTGAATCGAACAGAGGCTATAGTTCAAGGGATCGATGAGGGCCAGGAATGTGAATTATACATATGGCCAATCATTACACACAGTTCATACCATAAATACATGCAAAAGCCACCTACTACTTGGCAGCCAGTGTCCAGAAATTCAAAAGAAAGGAAGGGGAAGCAGCAAACCAACTCATAAATGCCATGGCTGTTGCTATCTCAAACCTGCTGCAGTGATTCTGTGCACAATCATTCAGATCGTTACCAATAAGGACTGTGATACCAGCAGAAGCACACGAGGCAGCAAAAGTGAGTGTTGAAGTAATCTGTAATAAAAGGAAAATTTCTCAGGTTAAACGTAAAGGTACGTATAATTCAATAAAATCATCACCAGATACCAAATAGGTAATTTTCTCAATTTTTCTCTCCATTTAGAATTCTTTTGAGGGAACTAAGGTACATATTCTCTTCATTTTTATCCTGTCATATTCACCTTAGTTTCCCAAACTAGGAAATGCGGATTTCACAGTAAATTTTCATGTTCCCCAAAAGGGTGTGAGAACATGTCTTTTTGGTTATGAAAACAACACATATATGAGGGTTCTGCATTGATTTCATGGCTTTTGGAGCCTGACAACAAAAGTCCTTCAACAATCTAAAAGACAATAATGGTTTCCAAATTAACTTCCATTTTACACAGATTATAGATATATATAGCTAATTTTAAGTTACTTCTACCAATATGCATTTTGACAAGGTAAAATTGTACACAAGTAATCTTGAGAAGCCAAAAGCTTAGTCATTTGGTTGTTTGTAACAAATAGAGGCTATGACCACCTTACCCGGTAGTAAATAAAGGGTTAATGGAGAATCTTATAATTATCTTAGAAGAGAATAATGAGTAATGTGTTCTGATAACTCAGGAATTATCATGCGCAAATCCATTGGAATGAAAAAGAGATGAAAGCTCATCATCGGTTCAGAGAATTGGATGAAAAGCTAGATCAAACTCACACTCATGTAGTTATGTTACAAAACTCTGAAATTTGATGACAAGAATGGGTAATATTGTAGCAAAGATCTTGGCAAAGGTTTTGCAAACAGGGGTGAGCATCAATGTTTAAGTTGCAGGTTCGTCCATGGATAAGATACACTAAGGGGAAAGAACCTATGGGCAATTCACGACAGGGTTATGGATTCTCAACAGATTTTACAAGCACTGACTCCTAATTTGATGGAAGTAATTTAGAAGTGTGGGTTTGTTGCTGCAAGCAATTTATTGATGTGGATGCTACACCAGATGATTAGAGGGTCATTTATTAGTATGCACTATGCATAAAAAAGGGAAAGCCAGAAAGCATTTCAGTGGCATCAAAACAAGACAAGAAAGAACTTCATGCTATATTGATTGGACCATAATGAGACCCAGCCAGAAAATACAGTATTAAGTGCAGAAATACAGTGACTGTTATATGAGTGGGGAAAATCCTGAGGTTTTGATATTAATGAACCAAAAGAGAACCGAATCAGTGTTACAAAGACACTCACTGACTCTAGCCAAAACCCTATCTCCCCTTACAGATAAATTACAGCAATAACAGACCCAAAACACATTCACAGTGGTCTCACTCTCTCTGGCATTCGAGGGCCAAGCTCTCCCTCACTATTCCATTATCAAAGACATGCCAGCCCAAAACAAGCAAAAGACTACTAATACCATAGTAAGGCTTACACACAGCCCCTACTACTAAAAATAGATTCTATATATAACATAGGATCATAATTTTACTGTTCCTTACAGCCAGGGACTGAAGGATAATCATCTTGACCAGTCAAAGCTTTTCCATCTAAGTCATTCTTCCTCTTTGACGTCCTCTTGTAGGTATGAGTAAAATTACAGGCTCTATCATCACCCTCCCCAAAAAGTTTTACCTTGTCCTCAAGGGAAAAGGCTGGAAATTGTTTACTAATCAGATCTGCATCTTCCCAAGAATTCTTGAAACTGAGTAAATCTTGCCATTTAACTAACAACTCTCGCTGTCCATTTAAAAGCTTGCGAACCCTTCTAATGTCTTGAGGCTGCACCTGTAACTCGAATTCATCAGAAAGTGTTGGAGGGATGGTAGGATTTATCACAGCAGAATGAACAGATTGCTTTAGCTGAGAAACATGAAACACCGGAAGGATGCAAGCAGTAGGTGGAAGTTCAAGTCTGTAAGCCACTATTCCAACCTTCTCAAAAACCTTGAAAGGACCATAAAAACACGGGATGAGCTTCTCATTAAACTTCCTAGCCAAGGTTTTCATCCTATAAGGTCAAAGTTCCACATAAACAAATCCCCAATCTCAAAATGCACATCTCTCCAATGCTCGTCCGCTTGTGCTTTCACTTTGCTTGGAGCCTTAGCCAAATTGTCCGTTAGAAGCGAAATGATCTGATTTCGAACATGAACATTCACATCTTCTATAGCAGAAGGTTCATCACTAAGCTTCAAGAATGTAAGGAGATCCCTACTATACATTGCTTTAAAGGGTGTCATGCCAACTGCACCATGATATGAAGTGTTATACCAATATTCAACTCATGATAACCATTTAGCACATTAAGTAGCCTTCTTGTTGGCAAAACAATGCAAATAAGTCTCCAAGCTCTTGTTTAGCACCTCAGTCTGTCCATCAGATTCTAGATGGTAAGATTAGCTAAGGCAAAGTTGAGATCCAGCCTATTTGAACAATTCTTGGCAAAAGTGGCTAATGATAACCTTGTCTCGGTCCAAAACTATCTTTTTAGGGAAACCATGTAATTTCAAAACCTTCGCTACAAACTTTTCAGCAACATCCTTCGTAAGAAAAGAATGAGCAGGAGGGAAAAAATGAGCATATTTTGTAAGTCTATCCACAACTACTAATATGGTATCATACCTCCTTGATTTGGGAAACCTAGTGATGAAATCCATGCTAATATCTTCCCAAATACTTTGTGGAATAATTAATGGTTGTAACAGGCCAGCAGGAGACAAAGCTTGGTACTTATTCTTTTGACACACCTCACAACTCGCCGCATGTTGCTGGACATCTCTTTTCATTCCCTCCCAATACACCGGATTGGACAGTCTCTGGTAGATGCGTAAATAGCTTGAATGCCCCCTGATTGGAGAGTCATGGTACTCCTTGAGTAACAAAGGAATTCTGGTGGAACCCTTTGGTAGCACTAACCTTGTTTTATAGTGTAGACAGCCATGTACTAAGTTGTACCCTTCCACCCTTTTTTTATGAGTGACGAGTTGCTGCAGAATTTTGCTCAAATTTGGATCAGTTTGCACTTCTTTCTCCCATTCTTCCACATCATTGTACTGCCATAAAGAAAATCCCATTAACTCCAGCGATTCTTCTTGTCCGAATAGAGCATTAGCAGCCCTATTCTCTTTGCCAGACTTATACACAATCTCAAATTTTGAATCCCATTAATTTAGAGACCCTTTTTTTTGGTTTTCATCAACTACCCTTTGCTCTAGCAAGTACTTCAAGGCCTTCTGATCAGTACGGATGATGAATTTGTGTCCCCAAAGATAATGTTGCCACTTCTTGATTGCCGTAACAATAGCTATGAGTTCCCTTTCATAAATAGAGCATTGTTGAGCCCTCTTTGAGAGTTTTTGGCTAAAATATGCCATAGGTCTGTTCCACTACAACAAGATTGCCCCTACACTAGTACCGGAGGCATTGGTTTCTAACTCAAAGGGGATGGTAAAATCAGGCATTACAAGCACAAGAAGTGTAGTCATTGTTGTCTTAAGTTGCTCAAAAGCCTATTCTGCTTCCAATGACCACTTAGAATCTTCCCATAATTCTTGACAAATCAAGAGTAGTACCTGGTCAGCCTTAGGAATCCCTTTAAGGATGTCACATTCTTAGGCTTTGGCCACTTCACCATGCTTTCTATCTTGGCCGGATCTACTTGAACCCCTTCCTTTGATATAAGATGACCTAGATACTCAATCTTTGGTTGCACCAAACTGCATTTCTTTAAATTAATCACAAGCTGGTTTTGTTTGAAAATAGAAAATACAGCCTCCAAATGTTTTAAATGTGAGGTTAGATCATTGCTATATATAAGAATATTATCAAAAAAATACTTATGCAAATTTGCGTAAGTATTCTATAAATACCTCATTCATCAAGGACTGAAAAGTTGAGGGGGCATTTGTTAATCCAAAGGGCATCATCTTAAACTCATAATGTCCCTCGTGTGTTCTAAATGCTGTTTTGTGCTCATCCCCGACCTTAATTCGAATCTAATGATACCCAGACTTCAAATCCAACTAGGAAAAAATTGTGACCCACTTCAATTCATCCAATAACTCATCAATGGCTGAAATGGGAAACTTATCCAGAACTATAATCTTGTTTAAAGCCCTGTAGTCAACACAGAACCTCCAAGTTCCAACTTTTTCTTCACCAGCAATATCAAGCTTAAGTAAGGGTTGTTGCTTGGTTGAATAATTCCAGCTTTCAATTTCACCATGTTTTTTGTTTCATTCCTCCACAAATGAGGGTACCGACAGCGTCCAATGTTCGGTGATTGTTCTCCTAACTTAATAATAATGGCATGATCCTTGGCACAGGGCGGAGGTAGAACCTCATGAACCTAGCAAACCATAGGGAATTTTTCCAGTAATTTCTGAATTTCCAGACTCAAAATTGTTGTGCCTTCATCGCTGCCCGTCAATCCATTATACTCAATCAAAAACCCTTTTCCTTTCTTCCCCACAGATCGAATCAAAGGTCTAAAAGTAGTTTGAGCCTGAGTAAGAGAACAATCGCCTTGCAAGCAAACTTTCTTTTCTTTATTGCCAATCTTCATTGTTAATTGGGTCCCATTAATCTTCACATCATCCAATAACCTCAGCCATTCCATTCCCAAGACTACATCAACATCTCTTAACCTAAAAGGCTAGAAGGTTTGAATTATATTGAGACCCTGAATGCTTAAACGAAGGTCCTTACATCGCTTCTTCCCTTTCACAGTAAACCCATCGCCTATTGTAATAGTATATTCAGAAATTTCATCAAAATGTAATTTTAGCTTACTCTACAAATCTTCCACAATAAATTTATGGGTGGCACTACTATCACCACCTTAATGCCCCTAATCTTCCCTTTTACCTTCATGGTGTGGTTATCACCAAACCTAGCCATGGAATTGAAAGATAATCCCATCTACATCCCCCCTTCAATAGTTTCAAAATTCCCTTCCTTGGCTTCAAGCACTGCATGTTCTTCTTCTTTGGCATTCTACCCATCTCCATTATCAACACTTGAAGAGTCTTTTTCCTACACTGGGGGGTTAGGCTATATTTGTCACCACATTTAAAGCATAGTCCAACCTCCCTTCATTGTGTGATTTCAGTGTTAGAAAGTCATTGGGAATTGCTGAATTTCTTTGTCACAGGTATAGAGTTCGAAGTGCTCCCTACTTTCGATTGATCTGTTCTTGTCTCCGTGCATTTTGCATTTCTTGTAGGCATCACTACACAAGAGGTCGCATTCTTGCTAGCTTCAGCCACGTGCATCACTCGTGCAAAATAAGTAGGAAACAAGTTGGGACGGTTTGTTTCTGGGCTCGAAATGAGTCTGTGGGTTTCAAGTAAACCTAGCCTCTTTGCATTCCACCAACATCTAAGTTCTCCCACCGATACAAACAGCCATCTCCATTAGTTTACGCAAAGTGGTGGTCTTGTTTAGCTGTAAATAACCTCTCATAGTCCCCTTGGTTAGAAGGAATGGAATCGGCATAACAGTTCTCTTTTAAACTCTACCCAGTTGCATAGAGGCGTTCTCGTGTCAAACCACTGATACCAATTCAACGCTTTGCCTCCCAAACATAACATAGCTATTTCAAGCTTCTCTTGCTCTGTTATGGAATTCATTTGGAAGTATCACTCCACTCGAAAAGGCCATCCAAGAGGATCTTCAACTGAGAAGATAGGTAACTCTAACTTCTTGTATTTACTCATCTCAAGTCCACCTCCTAGATCAATCTCAAAGGTCTCTTCATGATGAGTACCTTCCTATTCATCCCCTACCACTTTTTTCTGTATCTATTCCAAGGCGACATTTATACCTTTCAACACTTCTTCGATGTTGCTCACATCCTTTATCAACACTCCAACCATCTTCAATTCCCATACTTCCAGATCAAAATATTGTACTCTCTCTACCATAACCCCTTACTTCAACTACCCAAGAATCGTATTGCTCTGATACCAAATAATGAGACCCAACCAGGAAATATAGCATAAGTGCAGAAATATAGTGACAGCATCATATGAGAGGGGAAAATCCTGATGTTTTGATATTAGTGAACCAAAAGAGAATCAAATCAGTATTATGAAGACACTCACTGATTTTGGCCAAAATCTTATCTCTCCTTACAGATAAATTACAGCAATAATAGAACCAAAACACACTCACAGTGGTCTCACTCCCTCTGGCATTCGAGAGGCTAGGCCCTCCCTTTCTATTCCATTACCAAAGACATACCAGCCCAAACAAGCAAAAGACTACTAACACCATAGTAAGGCTTACACAAAGCCCCTGCTACTCAAAATATCTTCTGAATATAACATAGGATCATAATTTTACTATACCTTATGGTCAAGGACTGAAGGATAATCATCTTGACCAGTCAATGCCCTTCCATCTAAGTCATCCTTCCTCTCTATCCTCCTCTTATAGGTATGAGTAAATTTACGAGCTCTATCAAACCACATAATTGACAGGGAATTGTTAACAGGAGGGAAAAGTGACTGATTGTCAACAATTGATTTATTGATTAAAGTTGGTAGAGGAGCCGGCCATAAAATCCTCCTTGAGAGGACTAGAAAAATAGAAGCACCCATGAGGATGATTAACCCAAAAGGCCAATTAATTGCCATGTACTTGGTTAGATTACAAGCCACCGTTCCAACCATCTTTTAATGCCAGCCTTTTAGCCAACAATTCTCCCATTTGTCTCAAGAAACCAGGCTCTTGTTTTCATGCCAGCCTTCCAAAACCTAGGGTCTAACACCTTTCATAAATAACTATTCACCAAAATATTTCCAAGTGATTGATAACTTTCAGCAATAATACCTAAGAAACCCTCAACTAACCCTATTTTGAATGCAATACAAGAAAAACCACTAAACAGTTGACAAGATGGGAGATGGAGAGAAGTAGGAGGAAGGGGTTATACTATCCTGTTGGATTAACAGCATTAAGTTATTTAATTGGAAGTAACTAATAGAGGTTACAATTTGCTTAGCCTTGAGAGAGAGAAAAGGTTAAATGGAAATCCTGTAAATGTCTCAGAAGCAAAAAAAAAAAATGATAAGTCTATTCAGAAAGCTAAGGAGTTATCTTGTTCACTTCACTCTGTTCATTCTTTCTTTGACATGTCTTAGGTGTATCATAATTCATAATGTCCCAGGCTTTCTTCAACCAAACGAACAAGTGCAGAAAGTATCAGTGTTAATAAATTTTCTCCTTAGTGACATCTTGCATGGATAACAAATTAACCTAAATGGGAGCAATGCTCCAGACACCAGAGTACTGCTGGCAAGAATAGTGAGACACAAACGAGATACAAATCCTACAGAAACTTTAATTGCACAAGTTAACTAAGTTTGGCAGCATGTTGTCTTACTCCATCACCAATAGAGAATAAGCTGACAATTCTGGAATTTCGGAAGCTACGCTGCACTAAAATGGCATATACATCAGCAATCGCTAGAGTGAGGCTCCACAAGCTTTGCAAGCTCACAGCAGCAACTAGGTAGCTGGTACAGCAAATATCAGAAAGCCTGTCATGCTAAATGGAAAAAATGAAGACTCTAAGATAAACAAGGTTATCAGTCCCATGGATCACCTCCTTTTTTATTTCTTTTTTAGGCCAAAATGAATCACCTTCAATAACAGTACAATTAATAGGACAACTCATCCCAATGCCCCTCCCTTGTAGCCTTTTCCTTCCATAAAATTTTGCTCTTATCAGATAATTTGGCAATTAAAAGAACTTCTCCCAACCAATGGAAACATGAATAAAGCACACCTACAACACTTCTTGCATGGCTCGCTCAAAATACTAAGCTACTTCTGGCAAGCCCAAAATTCATCGAAGCATAATTTGTAGAGACAGAAATGTACAACAACGAAATAGGCACTCAATCAGAGGCAGAAGAAATAAAGCTATACGTTCAAACAAACAAAAACCAAGTAAAACAACATCAACAAGAGATTTGAACAACCAAAAAGTTCCTTTCCAGCACACTATTGCTAGCAGGTCAACACGGTTCCAAAAGGAGAAAAATAAAGAATTAAGCCATTAGCCCTTATAGAATTCATATTTTTTTTTTTTTGGCCTTTGCTCCAAACTACTACACCGTAAAAAAGTACAAGGATAACTGCTCCCATCAACATGTAAACAAGCAAGACATCCTTTGAAACTGAATTCAGTGTTTAAGAAAGTAGTAAGCAACATTTGAAACTGATGTTTTGGAGATTATAATCGAGCCATTATATTACAATTTTAAAAATGTTTTCCCCTACCATAAAACTCCTGTTAATATGGTATTAAATTCTACTCTCATGATATATGTTGTGTTGGCACTCTGCCTATGTATGATTGAATCACGCCAATTCACCGAAACCTCATCACACACCACACTAGGGTGATTTTTACTACGTATACTTTTATCTTTAATCCCTTTAGCAGCCATGAATTATGCATATTCCAAGTGTCTGACAGCGTAATTTACAATCATCGCGACCAGTTTAATGACAGAATCGAAAAGATAACAAAGACAGAGTCACTAACTTTTAAACGATATATATCGAATTAAAAATTGAATAAAATTCTGACTATGAACCAATTAAAACGCATATTGCAGACTAGCATAAAAAGTTAAGACAACAAAAACCATCGGAATACCGGAAAGCGGTGACAGAAGGGAAATCGCTGGTGGTGGCCATGACAACCAGGGCAAGGGCAGCGAAAACAAACTGAAGCAAGCGCAAGGCAAGACCTCCCAATGTGCCCGGCATGCCCTGTACGTCTTTCATCCTTGCCCTAGGCAAAGCATTATCTGTGAGCGGCGGGGCTTCAATTGGGTGAATTGAAGGGTGAACCATGGACATGATGATGAAGCTTCTGGCAAAACACAAACTACCATAAAAAAGGGGAAAATCAGAACTGTAGTCGAGTGCTAGAAGGAGAGGGAAAGGAGAGTGGAAGCTGAAGAGAATGATTCCTTTTGGCGTTTCCTGAGGAGAGAGAAAGAGGAACGGCTGGTACTGCTGAAGCTACTGGCAAACATTGGCAGAAGTAGAAGGCTAACGAAGGAGAGCTTCAAAAATGGTAAAATTGGGAAACAGAAATTCAGTTCTGCGTTATGCGTAGTTGCGCGCTGATCAATTTATGCATTAACACCGGACATTAACCCTTGTTTACTTTGGGGGTTGGCAGGAAAAATTAGAAAGAATTGGTTTTAGGGAAAACATCTAATGATATAGTTGTATGATCAATTCAACTCTACCTCAATTATAAAAAATTAAAATAATAATTTTAAATTATTAATGATGTTAAATTTTGTTAATAATACATGATTAATTTAATTATTAAATATATAAAGTTGTAATGATAAGATGTCAGTAATTGTAAATTATTAATAAGATTATTATATATAATTATATTAAATTTATAATGCATTATTAATTTTATTATCAAAAATGTAAAAATTATAATTATACAAAATTAAAATAATAATTATAAATTATTGATGATTTGATTGTAAATTATTTAATTGATATAATATATTTTTAATAAAAATATTATTTTTATATCATAATTTTAAGTTACAATTGAATTTTAAAAATTTTAATTATGATTTCTAAATTTTAAGAGTCTTAATTTTATATATAAAAAAAAGTATGATAAAGTATAATTGTTAACCTCATTTTTTTTAAATTTTTATCGAGATCAAAGTTATTAAAATTTGATTGACCTATCTTCCTTCCATTTTTCTCTAACCAAACATGGATAAAAATTAGTAGAAATTAAATATCAAGTCAATAAGATAATTCGCAACAAATGATAATATTTAGAAGATATAAATATAAACATTGCGTTGTGTATATTGATCCATTTATATACTAACACTGTACTATATTTTTTTTATAAAGCACTGTACTATATTTTAATATCACATTGCTTCCAATATCTTTTTACTATTGACACAACTTATTTTTTTTATCGTTTTTTATTTCCTGCACATGCTTTTATTGTTTAGAAGATAAAAATCAAGGAGAATGACCCAAAAAAAATCCTCGAAGTATGGAAATGATGATAAAGTATCACAGAATGTGAAAATTATTGTATAATCTCTGTGAACTTGTTTGGTATGTTGATTTTTGGCAAAATGAGAAATTTGCCCCCACAATTAAAAATTGAAATTAAATATGAGGAGGACAATAACTACTTAAAAATAGATAATGACAGTTTTTTTAGTGAATGATTAAAACCTAATAGTGAATTACAAGCACATTTCTATTATTTTTTTCATCAATAAAATGCAATGTGTGGAGAAGAATGACTACTTGAGAATATGAATACTTATATTGAGCATAACTAAGACACGATAGCAATTTTTTTTAATATCAATTGGATGACATTACTAAAGAAGAAGTCCAAATGAAAATTCTGTATATATCTACTTTTTATCATCATCCACCTACTCTTTTGCAGTAAAGTGGGAGTGGATTATAAGAGCAAAAAAGAGTTCTTATAATAGAGGACCAAATAGCAAATTGTAAATACATTTCTATCATCTTTTCATTTGATATTAAGTTTTAGTTATCTATTCAAAATAAATTATCATTCTCTATTCTTAAGAAATCACTATCTTCCATATATTGTATTTTATTGATGAAAAAATGACATAGAAGTACTTGTAATTTGTTATTAGGTTTTAGTTATGATGTAAGAAAAAATGCCATTCTCTATTTTTAAATAGTCACTGCTTCCATATGTTACATTTTTTTGATAAAAAAAATTAACAAGTTATAGTTCAATACTAACAAGTTATCATTTGACAAGTTTTTGAATATGCAATAATCAACATCCAATTGTTTAGTTTTAACAAATCAACTATAGAAAAATAATCATAGCATCTTTTAAATCAACAATTTTCATAAAATAACTTGAAAACTAAATTCACACCAGACACTTGCGCGCGCGCATTTTATAGCATAATATTTAGAACTTGTCAATATTTAAGAAATACACTATCAAACATCAAACAAGTTAGTCTTTTAATATTAACAAATTATTTCTTAAATATTTATTCATTGTATTTACATGTTAAAGTTCTGTTTTTTTTTTCTCTCTATAAAAGTTAAAGTTATAATTTTAACAAGTTATTACTTGATAGTAAGTTTTTTAAACATGTGATATAGTATCCACAAGAAATTGTTCAATTTTAACAACTCAACTATAGAGAACTAATAATATGTTGGAAACTGCTTTCATATAAAAGCATGGGATTTAAATTTATAATGTATATTTTATTTTAAATAATATAACTTAAAAATGTTTTACTAGCCATATGGTTATCAATATTTTGATGAACCAATGGATCATGAGTTTAAATCTCTTCTAAGAACATCAGCAGGGGTGATAATTTAAAAAAAATCTAGAGTATTTAAATAATTGACTCTTAAAACTTAATTACAATTATAATCAACCTTTTGCTTGCCTTCAGAAATTTTAAATAAAAAACTTAATTACAATCAAGGACTTTGGGCCCGCCATGAAATTGTTAGAATGCTTTGATTCCTTCCTGCTCTTATTATTCAATGCCTCACTTAAAAGGAAATTTATGATCCGGAATTTTTTTAATTAATAAATGTTATATTAATGATTATTCATCACTCCCTCACGTGATCACATCACATTCGCATTAAGCAGCAGTCTGCCGTCGTAGTAGAGGTCAAACTTCTTGATACGTGGGATAAACAGTTCCGCCGTTTGGAAGCTTAGCAATTTACGAGAAACAAATCCGAACATAGCAACGCCCAGTTCTCTCTTGTCCGTTTCATTCAATAACGTTCCCTCCAATTTACTGGTTTGATGTAGAAACTCGTGCTTTGTCTATATTCTTTCAAATTATATCATCTCTCGCTCTTTAGCTGCATCACGCATCCACTCTGTAAATTGTCTCTTCTAGCATTTTTTTGATGTTCGATTTGTTCAGCAATGATTAAACTATCGGTTTGCGACCAGATAATTGAGTTCGTGTTTGTTTTCTTGTCCATCACAATTCTAACTTGGAATTAACCCAATTGGGTAAAGTCTAAGTTTTTTCAGTGTAACTTGCATACAGCATGCTGGGTTCTACAAAACTTACTTTTCCTTTTGCATTTTTCATTACTTTTCGCACCACTTTTGAAAATTGTCTTGCCATCAATTGATAAGTTAATACTCTCCATCCTAGTTTTCTTTGTTTGTGGCTTTGGAGCAACGACACCGATAATTCATAATTTTGGGCTTCAGTTTTCCCCTCTTTTCAAGCTGCTTGCTCAGTTGATTTTGGATGCTTGAATCTAACAAAGACTTACTACTCCTGCTGCATACTGGATTAAATATTTTTTTTAATCTCCATTAGAAAATATTTTCCATTATTGCTTTCTTCAGAGGTTGCTTGCTCGGTTGAATTTGCACAAAATGCAAAGGAGGCATAAAACTCCGTCACCAGCTTTCCAATCATCGAGTAGTAGTGAAGGAAGTAGCAAGTCTACTGGTGGTGAAGATCTCCAAATCAATTTTCATCTTGGAAACCGAAGGAGGTCTTCTTATGTGTGGCTAACATTGTTCGTGATAATCACATATTGCTGTTCAACGATTTATAGATACCAATTTGAAAACATGCCCGTGCCTCTCACAGCAGAACAGGCAGGCAAGAGGGGTTTCTCAGAGGTTGAAGCAATGAAGCATGTCAAGGCCTTGACTGAGTTGGGCCCACATCCGATTGCTTCTAAGGCTCTGGATACTGCCCTGCAGGTTGGGTCCTCAACCCAGCTAATTTTGCCATATATCGAATTATCGATGCCTTCTCTCTTAGTTCATCTCACTATGTAGTTTAACTTGGACAAGTTGAAGGCACTGTTTTGTTATTGATACCTTCTTTCTCATTTCACCATACTGTATTGACATGTACAGATTGTTATTAAATATTTTAACATCTTGATTAAAATGTAGTGCAGTACGTGGAATAAGAAAATAACTCAGAGGTTTCATTGATTAGCTATTTTTCTTATTTTAGAAACACATGGATTGAAATTCTTTTCAAACTTGATGACAGTTTTTTTTTTTTTTGGGTAACAGACCATTCATTATTTGGTACTACCGTTTAATCTGGATTTGAACTGGGTCAGACCGAAAATAGGGGAAGGCTATTCCAATGCAGTTTTTTCCCCCATATACAAAACTTAAACTCGAAACTTTGCTCAAGGGGGTTTAGTATCTTTCTTTTGTTGCATTCTTTTAGTGTACAGGCCAATGGCTTCTTGTAAGAGGGGTTGAGAAAGGAAAAGCAATCAGATATCATGCCTTTCAGCATTTTTTTCATGATTAGGAAGTCAATAATGTTAGTTTCTCAATGTTCCAAGTCAAGTTGGGCCTGGAACTTAAGCACCAAAGGCTTAATGATAGAGTTAGGACTTGCCTGCTTGTTTGTACTATCCCTCATCTATTAAAAGCTATCTCATCATTAGTTTGAAGCAAATTGACTTATAAGTTGACCCAAATTACATTTGTAACACATTGTGGGCAGTGGGCTAGAACCTAATATGAGACAAATTAGTTGGTATTTTATTGTTATTTGGGTTGATTGTATGAGATCTCGACATTTGAGAACTAACTTTTATTTTATTTTATTTCAATATATTATTTCTCTCTTGAAGCTGGCTCCCTCTTGAGTGCATAGACTTGTGCTTGCTCTTGTCTTGTCTGTCCTTCATTTTCGTTTCTCCTTCTTTTTGCATATGATAAATTTGGTTGTTCCCTTCATTTCACATTATGGACTCAGGAATCAACAAGCTATTAAACTAATTTCAGTAATTAACTTTTCCATGTTATGTTAACTGTGCAATTTTATTAACATTCTCCCAACTTCAGTATGTTTTGGCAGCAAGTGAAACCATTAAGAAAACTGCTCACTGGGAGGTGGATGTTGAAGTGGATTTTTTCCATGCAAAGTCTGGTGCAAATCGTTTGGACAGTGGTTTATTTATGGGGAGAACACTTGTTTATTCAGATCTGAAACATGTTGTAATGAGGATCTCACCAAAATATGTTTCTGAAGCAAGAGAGCAATCTATTTTAGTTTCTTCTCATATTGATACTGTTTT